TGGTTAAAAGTGAACTTCGTTTTTTTCTTTCTTCTCAACTCTCGTCTACACTTCAGTTTCGGCACACAGCATCTTCAATCTCTTTTTCCTTTTGGTCAAAAACAAAACGGTTTATAAAGTCAACTGCTTCTCCTCTTTGCGCGTTCATCTCTTCTTCCGACGGAGTAGTTAAAGATTCAAGTAAAATGTGTGAGACAGCAGCAGATTTTTACGAGGAGTTCTTTCGAAAAACAGGTAATATAGTAAGAGCATAACTTTACGTCGACGCACCGTGGACGGATTTCGAGAATAAAAGTGAATTAATTCCAGATGTAAGGTTTTATTTGAAGAACTTCTACACACTGTAAATTTTAACAAAAAGAAGAAATCTCTGGACGCGTACGATCTGTGTAATCACATGTTTAATTTCTTACTTTTTTCTCACTGGTTATCCCTTCTTCAACTCTACAATCTTTCCTTTTCAAAGGCTATTCTTTCAGTTGCCTGGAAAGACACAAGAACATTGCTATTAGCAAAAAGCGAAAAAACGTGATATTTGGAATCTACAAAAAAACTGCATCGAATGATATATAATTCGATGTGTTTCAACAGAAAAAGCTTTTGTCCAAAATCTTAGGCAAAACACTTGAGGAGGACCTCAGGCAAAAATTTTGAGGAAAACTTTTTGTCTGCCTTTAACACCAAACTTAGGTGAACACCGTTTTTCGACATGCCCGATTTCAGGGTTAGCTCATGAGTTTGATCACAAGAATTTTAGTTTTACGCGAGAATTTTGAGAAGTTTCCTATTCAGAGACATTCAGATCTTAGTGAGTCAAGAGGGGCTGTATATATAATGTGAGTCAAATGTAATGACGCATGCAAAATCTCCAATTGGAAAAAAAACATCAGCTTTTCTTTAGAAAACTAGCAAATAAGGAGATATCTTTTTCATATAAGACATCCCACGCGTGGACATTTTTTCGGCTTCATCCGATCGACAAAAAAGAAAGATATATACGTGAGAAAAGAGATATTTCTTTATTTCTCTTTTAATATTTTTTTTTCGTTCTTTCGCATTCACGATGATAATATGAACAAACCGTGGAGAAAATGAAAAGCAGGAATATGGGAGAAAAGCCACTAGAGAAAAAGTGCACATAAATAAAATTGCAACACACATTTACAATTCAGTTGAAACTTAAAATTTCATCGCACAAACGAAACAACGGTAGGTGGAATATACAGACATTTTACAAGATGGTTCGATCCTAGATGTGTGCATTTTGGTTGAAAATACATTGAAATTTAAAATAACGCATTTCTTCCTTGTAAATGCCAAAAACAAAATGGACACATTTAAAAAACATCCACCGATTGATTAATGACATATTTATATAACAATGCGGTTCCGTTGTAGTTGAGAGAGTTTGTTTTAATCCGTGCCATCGATTAAATATTTGAACTGTTTTCTTTTAGTTACATAATTAGTAAATCTTCATCTAGTTCGTATACACAATAGTGACCCAAAAGTCACTTTACCGAAAAAAATTGAGTATCTCTGTTACGGCTAGAGCAAACGGGCTGATCTTTTTACCAATAATAGAGACATGTTCACAGTTCATACCCATAAAGACAAGGTTAGAGAGCACCTTTGTAAAGTATCATTACTGACTTCATGAAAAAAGTTTTACCTTCTCACAGATAGAAAAAAACAATGTAACCTGACGAAGAGCCAATCATTATGGAGATCATAAAACACTCGTAGCTATGCATAAAATCTTCGTTATGTAAATCATCTGAAGTCCTTAATTAACCAAGAATTTTCATCGCTCAATGATATTATCGAATTATGTCAAGCAATTGTCATTCTGTGGCTGCTCGTTATTAGATAGGTATGAACACGGAAGGCAAATAATTTGAACAATTACGTTAAAGTTTTCATCATTGATTTTCGAAGAATATAAACAAATATAGTGATTGTTCCATGCTAGTGTTCTTTCTTTGACGTCAATAAAGAATACAGCATGCATTTGATAAGAAAAAAAAGAAATATGAGCTAGCGTTCAGGTATTATCTTGATAAATTGAATCTTCTTCAACATTGTTTAGTTTATCTGTGAGAAGGTGAAATCTTTTTCATGAAGTCAGTAATGATACGAAACACAGGTCCTCTCTAACCTTGTCTTTATGGATATGAACTGTGAACATGTCTCAATAATTGGTAAAAAATCATCCCGTTTGCACGCAAAAATAATTGACGCACACGGTAGTTTAATATAAAATGGCGCGCCATGTATGTTACGCTCTACACTCAAAAATAAAAATCTGATTTCAGTCGCCTTAGGTAATTGTTTAATCCCTTTACTGAGTTAGTCTAAGACAACTGGGGCATGATATCGATATCATCTCAAGTCGAACATGAGATGAATAAAGATTTATTTTATAAAGTTTTAAAATTTGGTTTGAAATGCGTCGACATGAGTACGTATCTTACCAAAATCCAGTCTATTTAAGAAGATATTTTGACAATTTGCGTAGGTTTTTTATTCTCAAGATAGATCGAGTTTTGACTAACGAAAGATATAAATCGCCTTTGAACTCGGACTACTTGCATCTTGTAGACCTCAGTGAATAGTGAAATACTCTAAGTTGGTTTGTGCCCATGGTGCTTTGGGACGCAGTTATGTCTATTTCAAGTTTTGGTCGAAAAATACGATTTTGGCCATAAATCTTTGATTTCTCAGTCTAACAAAGTCCGATAGGCATGATATTTTTACTGTGACCACTAGTCATAGTGACACTACACTGACAGTTTGAGCTATATCACTCAACGGCTTCCATAGTTTTTGAAAATTTTTCGAAATTTGCCGTTATTACGTATGAGTGTGCCCCGAGATGGAAGTTTTAGTAGAGCTGATATTTTGAGCATCTAAAGAGATAGTCATAAACTAAATATGGTGAAAGTTTGAGCTCATTCCAACACTCCTAGACTAGTTTTCATTATCGGTAGTATGTGTTTATTCTTTCTATGAGAGTAATAGGAGTCACAACTTAACAAATGTGAAGGTATCCTTCTCCAGTTTTTCTGCTAGTTTGTAGTACAATACTATACCACGCTGTTTTTTGGAAAAAAGTTTCTTTTTAGTTTTTAAGATATATAGGCCAATATCACAGACTAAAGTTAGTAAAATAGATGGATTTTACTTTACTTTTGGAAATTGGACGAATTTGTTACTTCACATTTGTTAACTTTATCATCTGGGAAGTTCCCAGAATAAACACAAATTTCATAGTGAAGGGACTTTTTCTTTCGATAAAATGATAAAATTTCTTCTTTTCTCCATTTCTTTCTTTATTTGTCTCTATAGTATGCACAGAAGGAAAAAAACATCAAGTCAAGTAGAAGTAAAGAGAAGAATATATACATAGATGTTTATTCTGTTATACGATAGTTCCACATTCCTTTTCAGGCATATTGAATAATTCTGTTCTCAATTTCCTCCTCTCCAATCAAATTATCGGCGAATTTATTCATCGGCCCGAAATTTGACGGCTTCCGTTACATTAAGTAAAGAGAGGATTTTTCTTTCTTCTGTTTTTCTATCTTTAAACGTGAATATAATGTGGCACTCTGTCAACATTCTATTTCATTATCTGATAGAAAAAAAATGAAAATGTAAAAGAGAAAAATCCCTTTAAGGATATACCTTAGCTTGATGTTTTTCTTACCCATTTCACACATTTACAGGAACTTCTATTGACTCTTGAAACGCTTGCAAAAAATAGCTTCGTATAGAGTATAAGTTGTGTACTACAAACTGGCAGAAAAACTGGAGAAGGATACCTTCACATTTGTTAACTTGTGACTCCTATTACTCTCATAGAAAGAATAAACACGTACTACCGACATACCTAGACACTAATACGACATACCTAGGGTATACATTTACCAACTTAGTGTATTTCACTATTCACTGAGGTCTACAAGATGCAAGTAGTCCGAGTTCAAAAGCAATTCATAACCTGAAGAGGTTCCCTCGTAAGATTGTTTACTGAAGTCGATTATCAAGCGATTTATTTTTTGCTGAGGAACCGGTTGCCCGACGTGTAAGTAACAGAATTAAAAGAAACCTATCTTAGTCAAAGTTGAAAAAGTCTTATTTGTTTTGACACTGAAATCACCCAACCAACAGCTAGCATGCTACCGAAATGTCAAAAGTTAACATTTTTCAGGGCAAGGCGATGGGCGATAGTTTTCGGTAAAAAGAAAAAATAATTACTCTGATGGATGAATATAGTTTCATCAGTCGAAATGATTGAAAATGTATTCTCACTAGGAGATCAGTGCCTCAGGATCTCATCAGATTCATTTGAAAACTAAACCCAAATTCATGCTATGATCTCTTCAGCGTATGAGAAACTAGTATACTTCTCAGGCAACCGTTTCTATTGACATTTTTAGCTGTAATGGATCTACTTTTCTACTGTTAGGTTTCAGCTGAAAAGAGCTTTTATCTGTTGAAAATTTTAGATTGTAAAAAGCCTGTGAGCTATATTATCCATTATTTCAATTGGTTGATAACCGTCTTTAGAAAAGGAACTTTCTGAATAGAAAGCTGTCATGAATCTTCGTTATAAGAAAGATGGAACCTTGGATATGCGATTTGGTTCATCAAGAGCAGTAATGTCATCTGGAGTTGGCATGAGTTCTTTTGGATATTCTGGAGGTTCAAGCTATTCACCAATGTCTTTTGGACGAACTATTTCTTCCGGACTTCACAACAAAAGAGATGGTACTTTGGATATGCGATTCAGTTCGTCGAGAACTGCTGCTGCCTCTGCGCAGTCGAGTCATGTAAGTGGGCGACTTATTTCTTCCGGACTTCACCACAAAAAAGATGGTACTTTGGATATGCGATTCAGCTCTTCGAGAACTGCTGCTCCCTCTACCCCGTCCAGTCATGTAAGTGGGCGACCTATTTCTTCCGGACTTCACCACAAAAAAGATGGTACTTTGGATATGCGATTCAGCTCTTCGAGAACTGCTGCTTCCTTTGCGCAGTCGAGTCATGTAAGTGGACAACCTAGCTCTTCTGGACTTCATTATAAGAAAGATGGTACTTTGGACATGAGATATGCGTCTTCTAAAAATGCTATGACTAGTTATATATCGGGGTGCACATTTTTCGATCATGGAATACCAAAACACATTCCAGTCACTAAAGCTGGTATTCCAGATATGAGAACAACAGCTGCTAAAGAATGGGTTAAAGAGCAAGCCCAAACTGAAATGGATGATATTCCTTCCTGGATACCCAAAACTAAAGATGGTTCTCTCGATTTTTCAAAACCAGTAACACAGGAATATGTAAAATGGAAGAATACGGCATCAACAAATTATGTTCCAGATCAACGATTAGCTTATTATTGTCAAAAACTAGAAGACATGCCGTTTCGAAGACTTGTAGAAGATGCTAGAGTGGATGCTGTCGAGATGCCTCAATATGAAATATTACCTGAAACACAGGAAATTCAACGTCACTTTTCCTCTCAACCGATGAGAAATTCTACTGCACAAGATGATGTCGAAATTTCTCAAGATGAAATGTTACCTGAAACACAAGAAATTCAACGTCACTTTTCTTCTCGACCAGTGAAAAGTTCTATTAGACGATGTGATGAATATGACATACGCAGCGAAATTTCCGAATCAATTCCAGTTATTAATTATAGAGATTTGAATATTAATCCAGACGATAAATTAGGTCAAGGTTCATTTGGTATTGTATATAAGGGTACATGGAATGACCAAACTGTAGCAGTAAAAGTGTTAGGATCCTGGAGAGATCCTAAGACGGAAGAAGACAGCCCGGTAGTGTAATGGCAGTACGTCCGACCGGTAATCGGAAGGTCTGGGGTTCAATTCCTCAGTCGGGCAGTGGTCTTTTTCCG